GTTTATAAATGAGTGAGTGAGTGAAGGAACAAAAATACAAGTGAAACCAACTTCTTCCTCCCTGTCCCTGTAACTACTCTGAAAGTACTTGAATTCAGGAGGCTTGACTAGGCACATTTAAGAATGAAAATGTAAGCTCCTTGAGAGCAGGGACTATATTTTATTTTCTCATCACTATGTTTTCAGCACTTAGCTTGGCACATGGTAGGCACCCACTAAATATTTGTGAAATTAATGACATTCTTCCCTGCTCAAATTGTTTCTACATTTCAGTTTTGTAGCTTTATTGCTAGGTGGCGCTAAGAAACCATTTTCCTCCCTACATAGCCGATTTAGATGGAAGACTTGTGTTTTTTTAACTGATTGTGAAATAGTACATTGTTCCTTTCAGGTTAGTGATTTAACTTTTTTAATGGATAAATTAAAATTTAGGGAAGGCTGCTCATTTAAATGAGTATTCAAAATAAGAGATGACGGTGTCTTTCATAATACTCGCAAAAGAAGTAATTTAGTCGGACTTAATGAATATTTGTTACATGAATGAAAGACCATACCTGATATACCTTATTAATTTTTACCTGATATGTACATATATGCTGATATGTATCAGCAATTCTCAAAAGGTTTCCAAAAATATGTATCATGTTTCAGACTTCTCCCTAATAAAGCTTCTACCCAATAAAATAAATAGATTTGATCCATTCCCTACATTTGGTATAGCAGAACACGTATGATCTAGATCAGTTAAGCTGAGGATCTAGCTCTTCAGTATTTTTAACTACTTAATATTTGTTACTCTTTAAAATGATTTTCAAAATAAGGTTGGTGTATCACCTGCATTCATCTTATCTGAGGTGCTTAATTTCTGGGCCCCATCCCAGAGACCTGCTGACTTATACTTTCTGAACTTCTGACAAGTTTTCTGGGCGATTATTCATTCTGCTTAAGTTTGAGAGTCACTATTTTAAAACTCAGGAAAGTATCTGATAAAATAGTTTTAGCTACATCAAAGATACTGTAAAGTCACCATAGCTTTCACTTTTTCCTACCGTCTGTCCAGTTGAGTCCTATTTTGGATCTAGCTACTCCACTCACTGCTACTGTCACAGCTTTGGTTCAGCACACCACAAAGTCAAAACTTGTTAGGATCCCTGATATTAAATGCCCTTTCCAATCTACTTCTTTTATATTTTACCATCCTTCTTTCCTCATACTTGATCCTGCAGCCATTTAGAACTTTTTCTCTTTCTAAATACTCGGTGATCTTACAAGTACTGTTTCTTCTGCCTAAAATGCTTCTAGCATTTTTTCCCCTACCTTTTTTATCCAGGGGATTTATACTTACATTTCAAGGCCCAGCTCAAATGTTACTTTCTCTTTAAAGTCTTAAATTCCGCAGGCAGAGTTAGTGTTCCACTGTTCTGTCTCCTGATAGCATTTTGCTCATACCTCTGTTGCATTCATCAAGTTGCTTTACAATTATCTGTCTGTTTCTTCCAGTGAACTGGGAGCTCATAGACAGCAACGATCATCTTATGTTCATCTTTGTATTTCTCTGATTTAGGCCTGGCTTCCCATAGGTGCTCAATAATTGATTGTTCAATCAGTAAATGAGTCAGTCACCAAAGTAGGGGCATCCATGAACTTGCCATATTTGTTTTCCTTAATTATTTTGTGTTATCTAAATTTAGTTTACTTAGATTACATTTCCATATAGAATATAAACAATGTGTTTTAAGGAATTTTTTTGATTTTTTTTTTTTGAAATAGATTCTGATATCAAAGTGCTTGAAGATCAGTTTGATGAAATCATAGTAGATGTAGCCACAAAACGTAAGCAGTATCCCAGAAAGATCCTTGAATGTGTCATCAAAACCATAAAAGCAAAACAAGAAATTCTGGTAAGACGATTTACTTTTAAGATAGTAAATTTTCTGTTATGTCTATTTTACTATAGTAAAAAAATAATAAAGTATAAGATCCACATGGAGATAAATGACATTTTGTTTTCTTTGTTTTTCCTACCTCAATTACTACCTTTTGTCTCTTGGAAGACCTTTTCCTGTTCTAAGTTATAGTAGGTTAAGGTAGAATTTGAAGATGGAAGACTGATAATGACTTCCTAATTCTGAGACCAGGAAGGAAAAAGAAATTTATCTTTTAAACCTCTTATTTCTATTTGTCCTTTGTGTTTGGCACATTATTTGTATGTGTTTATATATTTTGGAGGAGCTTTTAGTTAAATTGATGGTGAAGATTGAGTACCTGTTTATAACACTGAAATTGGCTATATGAACTGTGTGTAACTTGTTTTGCTCCAAAAATCATGACAGGGTGGAAGTAGGTTTGCTGGGAGTGGCACTGCCTCTGGAGTGAGAAACACGTTTCGATTTTAGATTATGCTATTCTGTTTGTCCTTAGTTTTTGAAATTAGCATAGTTTCACATATAAATCTTCCAGTTGCTTTCCTTTAATGAATTGTTTTAGGGCAGCAAAGGCAAGTACTTTATCTCAACATTTTCATCATTCTAAGAGAAAGAAAGTGTTTATAAGCAGAATTTTTCATTTTTTTCTTCCATAGCAGTTAGTTTTTAAAGAAATACCCCATTCTATCCCCCCGCCCTTTAAAGTTTCTTCAGGAAAAACATTCAAAATGTATTTATTTTCCAGTGTCTCCCTCCCTATTCCTACCCCTCCCTCCCTGAATAAAAGCCTGGTAATCAGTATTGTGTAAAAGCAAGGAAGTTCACAGGCCTAGGTGAGGTACTCCTGTGGAGAGTTAAAAAGTCACGCAAAATGGATGGAGTGAGGATAAAAAGACAGCTTTTTAAAAAAACCTTTTGGCTCCTGCTAGCTCTGGGCAAGAGTAAGGAGGAACATTTCCCTCTTTCTTTTTGCCTGAACTGTGGATCCTATTCCTTTAGTTGTGCTACTGTAGTCCCAGTGTATCACAGAGTATATAGGCTTTAGTGGGCTGACGTGGTAGTAGCCTCGCCACTTTTTAAAACAGTTTCTGTGAGAATATGAGTTCTGAGTTCCAAACATTTGTCTTAAAATGAAGTTTTGAAACACAGTCCATTTATAATATGGAGACTACCCTGTACTTAAATACAAAAATCAATCTCTGTGTCTTTAAATTTGCTTGATTGCTTTTTCTTCTTATACTTTTTTTTGGTGAGGATGATTAGCCCCGAGCTAACATCTGTTGCTAATCTTCCTCTTTTTGCTGAGGAAGATTGGCCCTGAGCTAACATCTGTGCCCATCTTCCTCTATTTTTTTTTTTTCCGTATGTGGGACACTGCCACAGCACAGCTTGATGAGCCATGGGTAGGTCCACGTCTGGGATCTGAACCTGTGAACCCCAGGCCGCCAAAGCAGAGCTTGTGAACTTAACCACCATGCCACCACACCAGCCCCTTTTTACTTTTTTTATAGTGCTATTTCTTAATGTATGCAGTAGGTGGCAATACTATAAAAGGTATAATTCGGACTTAGTTTGACTGATCTGATCTTCTTTTCCCCTCCCTTCCCTACAGATTTCAAGATCTAATGTTTTTTTCTTTGCAAATGATGATGCTACTGACTATGTAGTATATTTACTTACATTAACTGAAGGAAATATTTATATGAGGCATTAAGTGGTTAAATTGAATCTGTTTTAATTTATATTATGTTTAGAAGCAGTACCACCCAGTTGTACAGCCGTTGGACCTAAAATATGATCCTGATCCAGGTGAGTCAATGTTCATTTGTGGTAGAAATGAAGCATCAGCATGTAATTTTTATGAGTTCTTGATATTCTTCTAAAGTTGTCAGCATCAAAAGTATTTTCCCTGTGATGCTCTAACTCACTATCAGTCATCCATGTTTAGCTCTTCACTTAGAATTATGAGAACTTGCTCTAAACCTACTGACTCAGAATCTCCAGGGGTAGGACCCAGGAATATGGACTTGATAAAGCTCTCTCCTGACTATTATAATGCTTTCCCAATCTCTAACTTTTATTATATTACCGTTCCATCTCTAACTGCTATTATATTATCCTTTCTTTGCATTATAGCCAAAGTTATACTATTAAAGCACTCTCTCGGTGTCACTCCCCAGTGCAATAACTTTCATTGGTTTCTCATTGTTGACAGAATAAAATCCAAAAGAATATAATGTTCAACTTAAGAAGAGATATACATGCTTGTTATGCCTTTGAACTTAATTCCATTTCTGTTTAGATGCATCCTCTAAAACAAATAAAATTGATACAAACTTATGAAAATCTAGCAACAGAACTGGCATTGCTAGAAATATGGATCATACATGCTTTTAAATGGCTCTATTCTCACATTTTAAAATTTGTAACAATTTTCCTAAGAGATCTTTTGGAATTTGCCTTTGGCACTCAAAATTACCATTTCTGGAGGCTGGCCCTGTGGCGTAGGGGTTAAGTTCGAGTGCTCTGCTTCAGCTGCCCAGGGTTCACACGTTCAGATCCTGGGGGCGGACCTATGCACCGCTCATTAAGCCATGCTGTGGCAGGCATCCCACGTATAAAATAGAGGAAGATGGGTACAGATGTTAGTTCAGGGCCAATCTTCCTCAGCAAAAAGAGGAAGATTGGCAACAAGTGTTAGCTCAGGGCTAATTTTCCTCACCAAAAAAAAAATTACCATTTCTGAACTATTAGAAAAAATAGTTAAGACCTTGATTTATTTGTATGGGATATTTATACTTATGGCTTTGAGTACCTTACCTTTGTCGAACTCTGAACTACTTTCTGACACGCCCCCTTCCCCTCTCCAAATCTTCCAAACTGATGGGATAAACTGAGAGGGGAAAGTACGAGCATAAAGATATTCTGAAATTGGTTAAAATCACAGCATTCACTGTGTTTGACAATAAAAATTAACCTAGGGCCCAACACTTAATTGTCATAGTTCACTAAAAACGATAGTTGCCAAAATGCAGTGGTTAACATATATTTGTTTTCATTTTGAACAACATAAAAATAATAATTGAAACTTGTAGTTTCATAATATGCTCAAGTATTATTTTTTAGCTACATTTAATTCACCTCTAATGAAACTTGGTAACCTCTTAGGAGGGAAAACAAATTTACTTAAACGATCCTTAGAAAACCTATGTGATTTTACTCCCACCATTCCAGTTATATAGTATAAGTGAGAAAATCTTATGTATCATATGATTCTGATTTCAAAAGTAAGCAAAGGAATAATTAGAATCTAACTTTGGGGAAATGTTGAGATTTTGTCATTATACATTTTCATAATGTTCATAAGCTTAGAATAGGATCAGGTCTTTAAGCACAGCAAAATTAGCTTATACGTACTGGTCGTACATCCTTGGGGAAGTCACTTGACTTCTTCAAGCCTCAGTTTCTTTATGGCGAATCTTAGAGTTGGAGCCTGATGCTTTAGGTGTGAATTCCAGCTCTTGTCACTAAATATTACAGAAATGTCCTGCCCACTTACAGAGGTTGTGGTATGAATGGGATGAGATAAGTGGCTCTATACACACACTATAACTAAAATACGTTAAGTAGTGGTTTGTAAAGAGGTGCTGTGTAATAATAACCCTATGATAAATCCTAACCCATTTACAGTAGTATACCTTACAATATTGCATAGCTTATAATACGTTTAACTGGTAAAATCATATGAAACCAATTAAATGGCTTAGGAGGAAAGTGGAAAGCATAAATTTATATAGGACCTAAAAATCTGAATAAGCTGCATGGGAAAACTTTTGTTGGAACTTCTTAAAAGTTTTTTTCTTTTTGTCATTGGAATATTAAGTGATATCAAATTTATTTGAAAGCTGACACTTTTGAAGAAGGTTATCTGATTTTCAAAACACAATACGTAGGCAATGTGTATCACATTGATTTGGCATAATTATGTTAGGAACTTTGGGAGATACAGGGATAAAACAGACAGTTTCTCCCCATAAAGAGCTTTTGTCTGAGTAGAAGAAATAAGAGAGCAACATCAAATAGGATTCTTTCATGCCCTCTAACTGAATCCTCTCCCAGTTTTTCCCATTTGAGTAAATGGCACCTTCACCTGCAAATTGTTTTAGTCAGAAGTCAACCTTGATTCTTTCCTCTCTTGAACTCCTCATATGCAGTCCGTCAATAAGTCCTACAAATTATTCCTTTGAAATAATCATCTCACATTCATCCACTTCTCTTCATCTTGCTATTGTCACCTCTATTCTAGGTCACCATCTCTCTAGCCAGGGTTTCTACAAATGCTTCCTAGGAAGTCTTCATGTTTTCCTCTTGCTCTTTTCTGTTCCATTCTATATATATCAGGTAGAGTTGATTTTTTTTAATCCTTTGAAATATTTCAAACATAAAGAAAATACAGAGTATAACGTAATGAACATCTCTGTACTTACCGCCCATATTTAAGGGCTATTCATGTTTTGCCAAACTTGCTTTAGACCCTCTAGGAACTAAAGTGTATGGAAACAGTTGAAACTTTCTTTGTACCCCTCTACCATCCCATTTACTTTAGGAGTAAGCACTATCCTCAAGCTGTGTGGATCCTTCCTATCCATGTTTTTATCTTTTTACTTTATAGATACGTATCCATAAACGTATGACATTTGTTTGTATATTTTTATGTAAAGAATTATCATACTGATCATATCATTCTGCAGCTCAGTTTTTAATATAAAGATCATTTTCTTACGATTTTACCAGTTAGATGTCTTATAAGCTATGCATTATTTTAAGGTATACATTGTATACACACATAGCTTTCTATTAATTTAGCTAATATATAGTATTCCAGTGTATAAATACACCAGTGTTTATCGATTTGTTTGCTGAGGAACACTTAGATTGTTTCTCTTTTTTGCTGTTATAAACAGTATTGCAATGAATGTTCTTATACCTGTCTCCTTATATAGTGTAAATATGCCACCAGTTCTCTGAGATGGATTTCTAGAAGCAGAATTTCTAGGTTATAGAGTTTGTTTCTGTTCAGTTTTAGTATATTTGAGCTTTACTGCCCCTCCAAAGTAGTTGTATCTGTTTACATTCTCACTAGCAGTATATGCAAGTTCCTGCTTCCCCACATTTCGCCAGCAATTTTTAGTCAGGCTTTCTGGGGTTTTTTTTTGCCAATTTGGTGGGCATGCAGTAGTATTTAAAGTGAGGTTGAGCATCCTTTCTTATGTTTTTTGACCCTACAGTTTCTTCTGTGAGTTGTCTATGTATATTCTTTGCCCATTTTTCTACTGGGTTGTTTGAACTTTTCTTGTTCATTTCTAAGAGTAACACACACAGGCACATATACATACACACATATGCACACACGCATTCTGGATGTCAGTCCTTTGGTTATAAGCACTGTAAATATTTGTTCTCAATTTTTGGCTTGTCTTATGACCTTATATATGTTTTAAAATTCAGAAGTTTTAAAATTCAGTGTAGTCGGATTTACAGGTTTTTTTCCTTTATAATTGGTTCTTTCAGTGTCTTTGAGAAATCATCTGCCCAAGTGACATAAAAATCCTTTGTTATTTTCTTTACACAGTTTTGGTTATCATGTTTAGGCCTTGAATCCATCTGAAATTTTAAAAAAAATTTTATGAGGAAGGGATCTAATTTCTACCATACTGATAGCCAGGTGTCCTAACATCACTTATTGATTAGTCCCATCTTTTCTCCACTGCTTTGTAATGCCACTCTCTCATGTACAAGTTTCTACATATTTTAAGGGTCTGTTTCTGGGCTCTGTTTTTAATTTTATTGGTTGACTTGGCTGTCTCTGTACCATTACCACACTTTTTAAGTTACTGTAGTTTTTTAAGAAGGCTTGATATCTTGCAATTTCTTCAAAATTTTGTTGCCTCTTCATGGCCCTTTCCTCTTCTATAGGAATTTTTAGGATCATCTTGTTAAATTGCATGA